GCAGTAGAAAGGTAAGACTATTGATATTAAAATATGAGTTGTGTGCTTTTATTTGTAGAACCAAAAAACGTTAATTATTATTAAGGTTTTTTTATATAGCACTTTTATCCAAAGTGCTTTATAACAGTTAGCTAATGGTACAAATAACATTTGGAGAGATCATTAAGTGGTCCACCGAGACCCTCAGCAATTTTCAAGTGGTCCACAAAAAAAAAAAAGTTTGAGAACCACTGGTGTAGACAATGTCATGGATTTCCCTTTGCATTATTGTCACAGGGAGTGAGATGGAGACCAGATTGTCCTGCTCAGAAGTAGAAACTGGGATAGTGGGAATTTAGCCATCAAAACTAATTAGGTGGGATTCTCCTGCTCTCCCAAATTCTGTAGGTGCTGGGGACAGCTGTGTGGAAGTTCTGAACATCTTTGCTTTTTTAGTCCCTTCCAGTCCTCACTTCCCTCAGAAAGCATGTTTGTGGCTATTGGGTTACTCAGTACCAATGAAGAAAACAGTATATTAATACTAACAAGATTAAGATTACATTTACCTAGTAAAGTTTGGCAAGGTAGGGGGAGGGGGAATAGTGCCCTCAGTCTAACCCTCCCCTTGAATGGAGTCCGATCCCTATGCAGCACCTGCAGTGTGGCTTCCAGGGGTGGTAGAGATGGTGAACAGTGTCACGAAGCTGGTATTTTTCTCCTTTCCACCACACTGTCCAGAATGACAGTATCTGTCCCCTGAGCCTATGGTGGCAGAGGAAAGAAACAATATGGCCCAGAATTACTACAATGAATGTAATGTTATTCAACACAAACAATAGACAGAGGGAGCAAATGTTAGGCTGTTGGTGTGCTGAGATCACAGCCTGACATGCTGCCCAGCAGAGTCTCCCTGTTTTCTTCTACTCCCCCATCTGTCTGTATCAGTCTGTTGTCTTGTACCTTATCCTGAGATTGTAATATCTTTAGAGCGGGGACCGTCTTTTTCTTCTATGTTTGTACAGCACCTAGCACAGTGGGGTCCTGGCCCATGACTAGAGATCCTAGGTGCCACAGTAACATAAATAATCAATAATCATTTGAAAGAGTTGGAAAATGATTTTTTAAAAAAGATTTAACAATAATTTACTTTTAAAAAGGAATATTTCCGAGAGAAAAATTGCTTTTCAGAATTTGGTTACATGGAAAAATGACTGGGTGGTTAAAATAAACTAATATGTTTAGAACACTAAAAATCAGGATAAAAACTTGTGGCAACAGTACTTTTATTGATTAAGGTTGAAACAAAAGATACACAGTAGACTCCACTGAATGAGCATATACAAGCAAGAGAAGAAACAGGAAGTACTGTAAATTAAGGACTCACTTTCCCAAAGGAAGGAGGAAGTCTTGACTGAAGCTTAAAGCTGAATTCAATGTGGAAGATCTCATTGCTTTTACATGAAGCATGGTGAAAATATGGGCCCAATCCTGCAAGGTGCTGAGTGTCCTCAATTTCCACTGACTTTAGTGGTAAGTGAAGACTCTTGGCACATCACAGGCTCTGTATTTTCAAGAACTTTTAACAAATACAATAAAACAGCAAGATTAAAAAGACTCTTCTTATGGAATGTAATGGCACAAACCAGAAATTCCTGATATTTGTCGAATGACCACTCTTACACGAACATGCCAGCCAGTCAAGGACCCACTTAGACAGGTTTGCCCTCTTCCAGCTACACAAAAACAATTACATTCTGTCCTTTTCACTTTCTCCAAACCACTTTCCAAACTGCATCTCCAGCTTCCATTTCAAGCCAAGGGACTGCAATATGAAACACAAGGTGACCTTGTGTGAAATTCGGGTCCCACTGAAGTCAATGGGAGTTTTCCTACTGATTTCATTGGGGCAAGGATTTCACCCCTCCTCTTCATACCTGTCTTTAATTTAACTGACATAATGTCGGTGTGCTAGAAATAACAATAAAAAACAATAATAATATTGCATAAACCATGCCACTCAAGGTTGCACCAGCCATTCCAGATCCTCTATTAAACCTGGGATTGGGACAACAGTAACTGAAAGGGACCATTGTGATCATCTAGTCTGACTTCCTGTGTAGCACAAGCCAGAGGATTTTCCCAAAATAATTCATAGAACACACATTTTAGAAAAAACAGCATATCTTGATTTAAAAATTATCGGTAATGGAGAATCCACCACAACGCCTGGTAAATTGTTCCAATGGCTAATTACTCTCACCGTTAAAAATTTACACCTCATTTCCAGTCTTATGTCTAGCTTTCCAGCCGTTGGATCGTATTGTACCTTTCACTGCTATATTGAAGAGTCCATTACTATATATGTGTTCTTCATGCAGATATGTATAGATTGTAATTAAGTCACTACTTAACCTTCTCTTTGTTAAATTAAATAGATTGAGCTCTTTGAGTTTCTCACTATAAGGCAGGTTTTCTTATCTTCTAATCATTCTTGTGGTTTTTCTCTGAACCTTCTCCAATTTATCAACATCCTTCTTGAATTTGGGGCACTGGATCCTGTATTCCAGTAGCAGTCACACCAGTGTCAAATGCAGACGTAAAATAACCTCTTTCCTCCTACTCCAGATTCCTACTTAGGCATCCCAGGATCGCATTAGCTCTTTTGCCCACAACATCATGCTGAACATGAGCTCCCAGTGTAACAGCTCTTGTGTTTCTCCTGTATTCTGGGCAGGGTAATCCCCATCTGTTCCTCAAAAGTATGAAATCCCAGCCTTCTTGCCAGATAATCTGCATCACGCTTGCTAGATACTCATGGTGCTAGATACACGTGTACCTTCACTAATGCACGGTGCTCACTGAGAGGAGCCTTTTAGTGTGCACAGCTTTCTCTTTTCTGTGACCCTCTTTTAAATGCCATTTTTATGTGTGTACACTGCTTAGTGATCCTTGAATAAAAGTACTATTGATGTAAGAGAAAATGTATGGCATTGTAGAAAATTTTACCAGAATTTAAAATGTTCTGGCCTGCCTTTTCTTTCATGGACATTTTTCAAGTAAAAACAAGGAAAAGAGTCTGGTGTTTATCCTTGTCCCAAATGCCTCAATACAGCTGAGATCCATAATAATTTCTAGAAATACACTGAACATCACCACTTTGGATTTCACATAAGAACGCCGTACTGGGTCAGACCAAAGGTCCATCTAGCCCTATATCCTGTCTTCTGAGAGTGGCCAGTGCCAGGTGCCCCAGAGGGAATGAACAGAACAGGTAATCATCAAGTGATCCATCCCCTATCGCCTATTCCTGGCTAATAGCCCTTGATGGACCTATCCTCCATGAACTTATCTAGTTCTTTTTTGAACCCTATTATAGTCTTGGCCTTCACAACATCCTCTGGCAAGAAGTTCCACATGTTGACTGTGCATTATGTAAAAAAATACTTACTTTTGTTTGTTTTAAACCTATTGCCTATTAATTTCATTTGGTGACCCCTAGTCCTTGTGTTATGAGAAGGAGTAAATAACACTTCCTTAATTACTTTCTCCATACCAGTCTTGATTTTATAGACCTGTATCATATTCTCCCTTAGTCGTCTCTTTTCCAAGCTGAAAAGTCCCAGTCTTATTAATCTCTCCTCATACGGAAGCCATTCCATACCCCTAATCATTTTTGTTGCCCTTTTCTGAACCTTTTCCAATATATCTTTTTTGAGATGGAGCAACCACATCTTCACGCAGTATTCAAGTGAACGTGCTCCTGGCTCTATCTTCTTTTGACTGCTGGCCCTATCTCTCCCTCCTAACCATGCTGATATTGCTTTTCTCTATTTCACCAAATTTAACAAGTGGCTGGAGAAATATTTAAAGATGTTTAATTTTTTAAGCACAGATTAGACAACTCAGTTGGCAGCAATGTGTTTTGTGAAAAAAAGGATCAGACTCTTCCAAAGAATGGAAAGATACCTCTGCTGCTGCTGCAGCAGCAGAGCACAAAAGGCCCACAAAACTTCCATGACCAAATCTTAGAGAGGCTTGTTACAGTATTATGAAATAGATGACAAACAATCTGATAAAAATATATTTCTTTTCCAATCACAAAAGAGCCTGGGTAATGCATAATATCACAGCTTGTGTTCTCCTCCTGACCTATTAGTTGTCAACATAACTGATGGAATATCACTGCATATCAACAGTGCATAGACTATCTTCTGTTATTTTGCCCTTTCACTGTTCTCTTTTTTTCTCTGTAGAAGCAGTGAATTGTGGCACTATCCACTTCCTTGCAGGCTAATCTTGGTTTTCGTAATGCAAAATTATTCAAGGGTGGGATTAGAATCTATTAACTACAATTCTTTATCAGACAGCCAGTATAATACAATATAAACTCTTCTGAGATATTCTCTGCAGTGAAAATTGGGGAAAAAAACAGTTGTAATGCTGCTAAAGTATTATGGCATATATGCAACTACAAAAAAAAAATATGGTTAATCAGCGAATTTTTAAAAAATCATGAGTTCTCATTAAAGACTGTCAACTGCCCAATGAAACATTGAAATTTGTTTTAATAATATAATGCACAACAGTTTTGTGTGAGAATTTAAATTATACCTCATTTAATTGAGAATTTGACACAGTGGACTAGTCTACCAAAGATTTCAAAGTATGTTAGTAGAAGAGAGACTTTTTTTTAAGAAAGAGGAGGGTCAGACTGACCCAGGATAGTAGTAATTAGAATTCTTACCATCTGTTCTCACTGGGATCTTAAATCTCTCATTTCAGTTGCTTAGATGTTCAATCAGCATTCAAATTGCAATTTGATAAAGATAAAAGACAATGACAAGGGGGGGGAATGTAAAAGTAATCAGGAAATGGTAATATGAGGAATTGCTGGATGTGTGTTTAGATCCATTAACTTTGATGCCATCAGGTTGCCACCCTTTTCTGGGCATTGCTTTGGCCGGGAAGGGAGCGGGGTAGGGGTTACTTAGCAACTTGCTTAAACTATCTTGTCTCAACAGAGTAAAGGGACCTTATGTCTTTGCTGGAGGGGAATGAACTTCTTCATTGTTGCTATTACCACTGCCTGCTGGGACCCAGGAATCTACCATCACATTGTTCAGCCTTCATTGCTCTAGTCTGAGAAGATCAAGACCAGGCAAGGACAGGGAGCCAGATGACATCACTACCTCTGCTGAGTTCAGCTGGATCCTAAATAACACTTAGAATGTGAACTTTAGCTTCTTACTGTTAATCCTTCCCTAGTATATCAGTTTTCCTTACTCACCTTATATCTTCCACCTCTCCCCTCTTTTTCTCTTTTTGCTATCTGTCCAATAAAACCTTGCCTCCAAACCTCTCCACCTCCTTCGGTCCAATTATGAGATGCCATGTGAGACAAAGATCCAAAATGAGGGTTACAAAAATTATTTATGTAGGAAACTTAAAATGCTGTGGGATTCATTACTGCAGTGTAAATAACTCATTCTATAACTTTAACTTCCCTTTTCTTTATTTCTGGTATTTCCACAAAGGAACATCACATTTGTTATATGAGATGAGGGATATTTGAATGAGATGCTTGCAATACTGCTGGGATTTAAAAAAAAAAAAGGCGGAGGGGGGCAGCGAAAACCAGTGCCTTCACGTTCTGGAAAAGTCTTCAAGACAGTGGCAAATTAGACCACATGCTGTAGTTTTTCTAGCAGCTAAGATGTAAGTAATAAAGAGTCAGAAGCTTCATTTCCTTATTTTTCCTCTTCCCTTGTGTGTGTTTATTTTGACTTCACTTTAAAGGAAATAGGACCACATTTGAACAACAGCTCCATCTCCGATTCTTTTTCCCAGTCAGAACTTCTAAAACAATCCCAAAAGGATTGTCGAGCATAAGGTTATCCAGAATGGCATAATATTTGGGAAAAAGAAATTTTACTTAACATTTACCTTTCAAATGCTTTAACTATTTTCTCTTCCTTTTATGTGCATTTAAGTATAGATTCAAATGTTGTTTTTAATGGTGTTTGTAGTAAGTGAAGGCCCAGTATGAGGCCTAAGGCCTGAACTAAAGTAATGGTCAAGACTTTGCTAACATAAAGCAAAGTTAAGCTGTAAGCCAGAGGCAGGCCCTGCTCACAGAAGCTGGCAAGGAAAGGGCTGATGCTGCAAAAAGAGACATACCTAACAGGTACTGGACACCAGATATCAGAACATACTGGAACATTCCACAGATAACATGGAACAGGCTGACCCATCCCAATGACAGGGGCAAAAGGGTAAAATGATGGATAGAGTTGTTTTGATCGAACCAACATGTACAAGGTGAGAGGCGGCACCTTACTACGTAGAGGGGTTGTACCTTGCTACGTAGAGGGGTTGCACCTCAATACGTCAGGAGTGATGTGTAACTTGTTTGTACCTGTGTATAAGAATGTATCCCTGGGGTGGTGTCTTTGTCCGGCCACGGGGGCAGTGGAAAGTCCCGCCACTGAGCCGGGTCCATTGCCAAGAGGCATCTATTAGTAGTATGCCCGGTAGACTAAGTAATCTACGGGGAACTGCAATTGTGTCCAAGGTCGCAATAAACCTAGTCGACGTGACTTTGCATCTTACGAGACTCTGTGGTTATTGGAGGTTCTCTTCAGGTCTGCTGGGTCAGCTATCTGCGCACAGCTGGGGCAGCACACAGAGGGAACACACGTACGCAGCCGAGTGATATCAACATAGGAGAAAGCAGAGCACCACACTGGTAGCATCTGACAACAGTGTTTATTACAATGGGAGAAAGCCAGCAATGCAAATCTCAGACTACACAAATATTTAATGATGAAACAAGTGTTTTGTAAATGCCTTAGCCCCTCAAATTCCCAAGGTTCCCATCCAAGACACCCTGAATAACAAACAGTTCTCCTATATACATAATTCAAGTTGGAGGGTCAGAGGAGGTTAAATGGTATAGAGTCAACAATCCAAGAAAAAAAGAAATAAATCTTTTGAAACCATGTGCCTTAATATTGCAGGAAATTCAAACATGAAAAGAAGAGTCTCCTTTTTTAGGGGATAATGATTAGAATATGTATAAACAAATTTTTATAAAAATAAAAAAATCTGTAGTGACTAATCAAAATAGAATTTCCATTGTGGTAGAGTTGATGGTCTGCAATGAAGAAGGGAGGTATCTAATAGTACAAGATATACTAGCATTAATGTGTATGCCCCTAAGGTGCAAATGATGGCATATCTGGATGATTTATTACTTCTGTGAACTGAAGTCATTCAGGGAGTATTCTATATGGCAAGCGATTTTAATTATACTCCCAAATCAATGACATATAGAAAAATGACCAGAATATTAAGGATACAGTGAAACAAAAGTAAAATAAGGTGCAGAAAAATGGATAAACTAACAAATTAAAAAAAAATTAAATTAACTAACACCAGAGGTGCATTAAACATGGTTAAAAGAAAAATGTGGAATAGTAGCTGAAGCTTCTAAAGAAAAGTTCCTTTGACAAGCACAATAAATCCAACAAAATTTTAGCATTCCAGTTGAAAAAGAAGCCAAAAACCTGACAATTTACTATATATGTAGGAGAATATTCAGAGTTAGTAGCCTGCTATTATATGCTTATCCACATACAATCAGTTTAATTGGTCATATCATATTTTGTTGTGTGGTGCTTCCAGGAAAATAATTTTTATATGGATTTTTCTGCCTCTTTCTCCAAGACACAGTCCTCTTGTCAGATCAAACAATCCTGCTCTTTACTTGCAAGAGGACAATGGCTGATTATGTATGCACGGAGAATGAGAAATGCTGCTAGAAAAGATTTTTGGCTTCCACTCAGAAAGCTGTCTTTGCTGAAACTCTGCGTTGGTGGGTTGTCAATGGGCCAAATCCTGACCCAGCATTCAGTTGACATGCAACCCAGCTGGAGGTCTGTGGCCTAGCAGAGATTCATATGTATGGAGCATTACTGCAGTTCTATGGTGGAGGAAGCCCCAGCAGTAACAGATGTCAAGTTTCTCCAAGGCACCCAGCTGCCCACTCCAGGGGCAGCATGCAAGAATCCACTCCTGTGCAAAATAAGAGTTACATCAGGAAGAGGTGGTATCTTGCCTGATCATCTAGCATGAAAAGCGAGATCTCCACAGCTAAGTAACAGGGAATCTGCACATCCCTTATTTTCATATTAGAGGGGTCAGAATCTGGACCAATGAAAACAGACTCGAAATCTGTCCATATACAGCCAAATCCTTCTCACCTCACTCACTTGAGCAGTCCTAGTCTCATGAATGGGATGGCTTGCATAAATAAAACAAGCAGGGTTTGAATCAGAATACATGAGAAGCATTTGTGGTAGAATAATTGGAAATACAATGTAAATGAAAAAAATGTCATGAGAAATATCAGTAACAGAACACAGACATAGATCACACACAAAATGTACAGAGTGCTTCGAAAGAGTTCCAGAATATTTTGAAAGCCATGAAATAGAAGTTGAAAATAGGCATAATGATATTGACCTCCTTTGTAAAGTATTTTGAGATCTACTGATGCAAAATGCTATATAAGAGCTAGGTACTATTATTATCACATGTCAAATTTATGAGGCTACCTAAAGGATTATAATTGTAAGATTAAGCAGGTATAGCACTCGTCTCTGTTCCAAGGCAAGTGCTGTATGTTATTTAATTTACAGAATACTCACAAATGCTTAAACCAACCAACCTTTTTCAGACAATCAGATTTGGGTGGCAAGCAAATCCTCACATCCAGAGACTTCATCAAAAACATCACTGATTTTATCATTTATCAAAATGTCTGCCAGCTTATATTCGGCATTATTTGTCAACACAGGACCCAGATCAAGTGCAAAAAGAGAAACTATCTTGAAACACCAGTTTGCTTTGTATTCCAGGGCATGGGGAGAATTCAGATAAGTTACATTTATTTGGGTAGATGGAGGTCATTCTTAATATATAGCAGAGACCGAATGCCTGCAATAGATTGTACAAAAGACAAACACACACTTGTTAATTACTTCTCTTCAGAAAATTTGTAGAGTAGTAAGATGGATGGAGGTAGTTCTTGTAAACTCACAGTGATAAGAGGCAAAACAGGGCCCAATAGAAGTTTATTTTGGAGAGGCAGACTTGAAGGCTACCAAACACTGAATTAAACTAAAAGATACTACAGCATGAGCTCCTATAGCATACAACATTTATCTCACAAGTCAGGAGTCATTGAATAATTCATAAGAGTTGCAGAGTGAATGAGGTTCCTAGACTAATTATTGTAAATGGGATTAGTAAAATATCCTATGGGGAATCATATACGGTTCTTCTTTGTATTATGAATGTATGCCCTACTTTAGTTTCATTGATGTTCCCTTACAATGTATTCTGCTAGGAAATAATTTCCAAGTAGGATTTTTATCTCACAGCTTATATTATTTTTTTTAAGTTGCACTATATCACAATCAGACATTTCTTTCCCTTGGCTTATCACTTGGATTAGTAATAGCAATAATGCTTTTCACGCACAGATCTAAAATCACTTTATAAAGGTGGTGAAGCACCCTCATTTTACAGATCAACACATTGTAGACCAGAGGTTTGGGTCAGAAGTGGAGCTTGTTGAAGGGGGGGGTCTGACCATTGGCACTTTCAGATGTTGGTCTTGGCTATATGTAAAAAGACAGGGACTTCATTCTTTACAAATTATGAAAGGTATTAATTTCATTACCACCACCTTGGTATTCAGTAATATGAAATAAAGAACCAGATACTTTTTCATTAACACTCTACATCCCTGGAAATCATTACAACATGAAACCAAAGGAATTATATTGTTCTTGGTTAATGCCAATTGCACCAATTAGTGTATAACATCATCTTGGTTTTACCTTGTTTCTCCTGTGTGGTACTAGGGATTCTGCTTTTAAGGGCTGAGCTTCCCAGGCAGGGTCTGAGCTGGGCACTGTGAAGTTCTTGTTTTTGTTATGCTCAGTGAACTGGAACCAAACACAGAATAAACAGAGGTCTTGTAAGCCCCAAAGGATCACTGAACACCACATGGTACTATGCGTAAAAAGGACCTAAGAAAACGAGTGGAATAATGGAGCAGTTAAAAGCCCCACCAGAGCTGAAACTCTCTGGAAATGTGGGGAACAAATCAGAGAATGTTTAAACCATGCTTCACTCTGTATCTGCAAGGAATGGGGTGCCAGCAAATAGTAAGCAGGGCCGGCTCCAGGCACCAGCTTGTCAAGCAGGTGCTTCGGGCAGCCGCTCCTGAGAGGGGCGGCATGTCCAGCTATTCGGCGGCAATTCGGCAACGGTTCCTCACTCCGCCTCGGAGCGAAGGACCTCCCGCCGAATTGCCGCCGCAGATCGCGATAGCGGCTTTTTTTTATATATTTTCTTTTGGCTGCTTGGGGCGGCCAAAACCCTGGAGCCAGCCCTGATAGTAAGACAGTCAGAAGGATAGCCTTATATCTGACAATAGCTGGTTCTGAAGCACTTGATGTGTTTAACAGTTTTCAGTTGCTCAGGCAGAGAAAGTTAACTATGGAACTGTATTACAGACATTTGAAATTTCTGTAGTCCATGTAAAATGAAACATATGAAAGGTATGTTGTTAAGCACAATAAATGAAACCATAGAGTTTGCCCCTCTTGCAATTTTGGGAGGGCTAACTGAGTCCCTAATAAGAGACCAGATGGTATCTACCAATACAGGGATCAAACCC